CCTGACAGATTCATTAACAGCAATTACAGAACATAACACAATCCAATATAAGACATACATTCTGGCCATGACCAAGTAGAAGGGTCTTACTCAAATGTTTGGCTTGACATACACGGAACTGCAGTTTTTGTCTACCAGCAGGTGGATGGTGACGGTGTGATCTTTGTCCCCAGTGGCTCCATACAACAGACACGCAAAATGGCTGAAGCATGGGCATGTGACGCTCTCATTGTGGTCTTTCAAGTAGGGACTATTGAAGGTGGCTGCAGACTCTTGACTGTTCTTGTAATAGCATCCAAATTGTTTTCTGCGATTACTCTTCGAAGGGCTTCCTTCATCAGTCTCTGTGATCTCGAAGTCTTTGTTTACAACCGCAGAAATTCTCAAATGGGACGGTCTTGCATGGTTCTGGGCTTTCTTCCTCCCATGTCTCACTTGGGGCAGTGTACTGTATTCCCTTCTGAGGGGTAGTGTTTACTTTCATCTTGATGTACTTGGTTTGCTATGGCAGCTACAAACTACAAAATAAAGTAAATATGATGCTTAGATGAAGGTGGTTTCCCAGTTATTCACATGGTCCACAAATCAAAGCAGTTTGCCAACTGCTCATGTAGTCTGTGATTAACATTTATATCATGTTATAAATTGAAAACACAGATGTAATAACAGAGATAACTTGCCACTCTGATACCATGATGTTTGATGTCTTCATTAAAAATTTCACAACAACCTAATCAACAAAACATTGATTAGCATGTGCACAGAAGTAACATCATAAATCCTGTACAGATATGCAAAGTTTTGTAGGTAAAAATAAATATATAAATAAATAAAAATGTCAAACCTTAAGTCCATCTGTGTCCCTGTGCAGCGTGTCCCTTCATACACAAAGCCAAATCCTCCTCCACCCAGCTTGTAGATGCTTATTAAAAGATAAGCAATTGTGGTTAATATGAAACATGTCTACCATGGTAGTTCTTTGATTGTGAATGTAGCTGTTCCATGATGATACTGTTTGTCACTCGCTAATAGTCGCTATCAGATAGTAACTTTAACCTATCAAATAAGCAAGCGACTTTCACACCTTTAATTATTGTAACAGGCAACACATTCTAACTGTCATACAATTGTGACGTCAATAAGGCTCACGCAAAATGAAAAAATAAAAACACTTTGTACCTTCAAGGGGGTCGCACACTGGACGAGAAGCGCAGCGCCGCGTCTTTAAAATTCGAACACATTGTTTTCTATGAGAGTACGCACACTGGTGGCGCCATTTGGCATCTCTCTGTGTCGCCCAGCTACGACTCAGGACGCTGTTCAAATTACTGCCGCGCCACAGAGCACCATCTGCATAGTTTTATATTAAATAACATCATATTTGTCTCAAATCGTTGTTAATACATTATACCAAGATACCACTTCTTCAAAATACTACATACATTAGTTTTACAGCTTGAATAAAATGTAAACATATAGAATTAAATGTATAATAAACGTTTACAAACATTTTTACATACACAAAATATTACAGTATTGGCCTATGTAACAATTGCCTGTTGTGATTACATTCACTGTCGTCAGCTGCCACCTACTGGATTTACCAGGTCACAACCGCCACAACACACTTCAGGTAATTTAAATAGAGTAACGTTAGCGGACCGCAACGGATGACGAAAAACTAATCAACGAAGTAGGGAAATGCCCAGAATTATATGCAACAAACCATAGAATCTTCAAAGACAACATAAGGAAGTCATCAGCATGGAGGAAGATTGCCGATGTCATCGATTTTTCAGGTAAGAATGTCTCATTTATGATCTGAGGTCAAATGTTCAGTGACAGACACAACTGTATGTAATTGTACAGTACAATCATGAAATAACGTACAGTAAAGGCATTGTCTTAATTTCATAATGTCCTTAAAAATGACAATAATGTTGAATTAAGACAAACTACCTCAACAGGAATATGATTTTAATTGAAGTTAACAAAGAAATAAGCATACCTTACACAAATATGTAGCATCTTTGTTTTTATTGAGCAAACAAATCAATATTAGTAGCTACAGTATAGGAAATGTTGAAATTGCTTATAATAATAATACAAAACAATACTAATAATTGATGAATGGCAATCTAACCTAATATGAATGCTAATGATAAACAGAGACTAAATTATAAATTAAGCAGGAATAAGATATCTAGGAAGTGATCAAATCTAATATCAATTAAATTATTAAAGTAAAGTCAGTAAGGCAACACTATAGTGACCATTACACCATTTCATTCTGCCAAGATACATGTCCTTCAGAGTTGAAAAAAGAGCAGAATTGATCTCGAACAGTGTAGGCCTCCCTTGCACCATGAGGTCCACAAGCAGTAGAGATGTTCTCCATTGATCCAGTCGTTAGAGCACTGGTATTTAGCCACCTCTCTACTTCCATTGGCTTGAGAAGAAAGTTGTGCAGGAGGCATGCTGACAAAATAAGGCTGTTTATTTTGTCAGGGTATATGTTGATCCTGCAATGCAGGATTACGGTGGCAGAGAAGTGCAAAACAAATCACAATTCTGAAAACAAAATAACAAATTACAAATGCAAATGCAAGTCTAAAAAACAAAATAACAATTCAGAAAACACAACAACAATTCAGAAAAAAATTAACAAGTCAGAAAACACAACGACAAATCAGACAAACCGGAAGAGGTAGGTATAATTTTAATTATTAAATGGATGCCACCTTATTGGTACAATAAAGCCCTCCCTACACCTACCCTAACCGATACTTTATTTTCAACCTTTTGATTATTTCCTTAATTTTTATTGAAAATAAATGCCTTTACGATGTGATACGAGATTTGAAAAGGGAGAAAAAAAAGGTGTTCGGCAAAAGGTGGGATCGAACCCGGGTCGATCGCGTCTAAAAGCCAACGACACGCACTTATCCATCTGCGCCCCTGGAGCTGATGTTTTACAGGCACTTTTAACTAAATGAAAATATACAATATATTTTTTATTCCATAGTAAGGGCAATTCATACAATACATTTAAACTGAGCTACTTTAATACCATCTCCGAACTTTCTACCAAGACTCTGCTGTTCTTCGGCTGGTTCTTCCCTGTATACATTGATTGACAGATGTCTCGTCCAGTCAGCGGTGAGTAATCCCAAACCAATGGCACTGTCTCAAACTATACCTACCTCTTCCGGTTTGTCTGATTTGTTGTTGTGTTTTCTGACTTGTTCATTTGTTTTCGGATTTGTCGTTGTGTTTTCTGACTTGTTATTTTGTTTTTTCGAATTTGTCATTGCGTTTTCTGACTTGTTATAATGTTTTCTGAATTGTTGTTGTGCTTTCTGAATTGTTATTTTGTTTTTTAGACATGCATTTGCATTTGTAATTTGTTATTTTGTTTTCAGAATTGGGATTTGTTTAGCACTTCTCGGCCACCGTACAGGATCCTCCAGTGAGATGACAAAATGCCAAAGGCATTTTCCACCACATTGCGCACTCGAGACAATCTGTAGTTGACGATGCGTTGTTGTGTGGATATGTCTAGACCAGGGTAAGGCCGCATCAGATAAGTTTTTAATGGGAATGCTGCATCCCCAACAATGGTGAATGGCATGTTCCCCAGGTGCTCTGCTCCTGGTAGCTGCTGATCATCTGGCACCTCCAGCTTTTTTGCATCCAATGCCTGCCTTATGGCTGAGCCAGCAAAGACACCCCCATCACTTGACCGTCCATACTCTCCAATATGGACTAGACAGAAGCGATATTCAGCATCGACCACAGCCAATAATACTACAGAGAATGTTTTTTTGTAATTAAAGTAAAGGCTGCCTGAATGAGGTGGTGCAAAGAAGAGGATGTGCTTCCCATCTATCGCTCCTATGCAGTTAGGGAAATTCCACCTAGTTAAAAACTTTGAAGCAATATTCCTCCACTCCTGCTCAGTAGGTCTTGCTAGGTGTGTATTCATCATGCGCCTGTTAATTGCAGCACATGTGTCCTTGATGGCTTTAGCCACTGTGCTCTCCCCCATACGATAGTGGAAGGCAAGCGTTCTGACTGAATTTCCTGAGGCCAGATACCTGTAAAACAAACATTAATATAAAAATGTATTTCTATCTCTTCACAGAAAATGAATGCAGGACAAGATGGAAGTCACTTCGCTGCAAATACACCCCCATCACTTGACCGTCCATACTCGCCAATATGGACTAGATATTCAGCATCGACCACAGCCAATAATACTACAGAGAATGTTTTTTTGTAATTAAAGTAAAGGCTGCCTGAATGAGGTGGTGCAAAGAAGAGGATGTGCTTCCCATCTATCGCTCCTATGCAGTTAGGGAAATTCCACCTAGTTGAAAACTTTGAAGCAATATTCCTCCACTCCTGCTCAGTAGGTCTTGCTAGGTGTGTATTCATCATGCGCCTGTTAATTGCAGCACATGTGTCCTTGATGGCTTTAGCCACTGTGCTCTCCCCCATACGATAGTGGAAGGCAAGCGTTCTGACTGAATTTCCTGAGGCCAGATACCTGTAAAACAAACATTAATATAAAAATGTATTTCTATCTCTTCACAGAAAATGAATGCAGGACAAGATGGAAGTCACTTCGAGACAACTACATTAAGTGGAAAAAAAGACGGCAGTTGCCAAGTGGCTCTGGAGCAGTGCGTCAACAGGAATGGAAATATGCTGCTGCGATTTCCTTCCTGAATGTATGTTCCTTCTACAAAATAGAAGGTAATATTTGTAGTTATGTAGTAATTGTAGTAATTTGTAGTAATTTGTAGTAATGCACTTCAAATTAACTTTGTAATAAAGAGTACATATGACTAAAGTATGATTTGAAGTAGACTTTTAAAGGGATAGATCACCCAAAAAAGAAAATTCTATCATTAATCACTCACCCTCATGTCGTTTCATCAAAAGTATTTTAATTTGTGTTCCGAAGATTAACAAAGGTCTTACGGGTTTAGAACGGGTTTAGAACATGAGGGTGAGTAATCAATGACAGCATTTTCATTTTTGGGTGAACTATCCCTTTAATGGCAGTATAAAATTTGCCCCTCTGTCTTTTCCCCAGTACAATCAGTAATGTGGATTTCGAAAACTATATGAATGGGTCGATCCATGAGGGTGATTTAGACACACGAATGACTTCAGAAGAGGAAAGCCCAGTACCGGAGACAGCACGGACTTGAAAGAGAAGTAGTTCTAGAACGGCCCCAGAGACCCAGAAAAAAAAGAAGAGACAACCTAAAAAGTCCGAACACACAAATTAATGAAAAACTTATGGACTTTTTAGTAACACCAACAGTGCCACCAAAACAACATGATGAAACTAAGATTTTCCTTCTAAGTTTAGCACCTCAAATGAGATCTATGGGAAAAAGAGAACAAACCAGAGCCAAAATAGAGATGCTACGTATCCTGGATGACCTGGATGCGCAGAGTCAGGCACATCATGGGCCAGGTGTGCCTAGTTACCACACAGGACCACCACTGTTTGGCAGCTGGAATGCTCCACATTAAAATATTGTGGCACCCTCAGCTTCCTCAACATATCTTATGCCATATTCATAGGTATAGTTCAATGAGATTTAATATATTTGTTTATTTATATTTATAGTTATAATTCAATGAGATGTAAAACAATGGTGAATGGCATGTTCCCCAGGTGCTCTGCTCCTGGTAGCTGCTGATCATCTGGCACCTCCAGCTTTTTTGCATCCAATGCCTGCCCTATGGCTGAACCAGCAAAGACACCCCCATCACTTGACCGTCCATACTCTCCAATATGGACTAGACGGAAGCGATATTCAGCATCGACCACAGCCAATAATACTACAGAGAATGTTTTTTTGTAATTAAAGTAAAGGCTGCCTGAATGAGGTGGTGCAAAGAGGAGGATGTGCTTCCCATCTATCGCTCCTATGCAGTTAGGGAAATTCCACCTAGTTGAAAACTTTGAAGCAATATTCCTCCACTCCTGCTCAGTAGGTCTTGCTAGGTGTGTATTCATCATGCGCCTGTTAATTGCAGCACATGTGTCCTTGATGGCTTTAGCCACTGTGCTCTCCCCCATACGATAGTGGAAGGCAAGCGTTCTGACTGAATTTCCTGAGGCCAGATACCTGTAAAACAAACATTAATATAAAAATTAATTTCTATCTCTTCACAGAAAATGAATGCAGGACAAGATGGAAGTCACTTCCAGACAACTACATTAAGTGGAAAAAAAGACGGCAGTTGCCAAGTGGCTCTGGAGCAGTGCGTCAACAGGAATGGAAATATGCTGCTGCGATTTCCTTCCTGAATGTATTTCTACATGTAGTAATTGTAGTAATGTAGTAATTTGTAGAAATGCACTTCAAATTAACTTTGTAATAAAGAGTACATATGACTAAAGTATGATTTGAAGTAGACTTTTAAAGGGATAGATCACCCAAAAAAGAAAATTCTATCATTAATCACTCACCCTCATGTCGTTTCATCAAAAGTATTTTAATTTGTGTTCCGAAGATTAACAAAGGTCTTACGGGTTTAGAACGGGTTTAGAACATGAGGGTGAGTAATCAATGACAGCATTTTCATTTTTGGGTGAACTATCCCTTTAATGGCAGTATAAAATTTGCCCCTCTGTCTTTTCCCCAGTACAATCAGTAATGTGGATTTCGAAAACTATATGAATGGGTCGATCCATGAGGGTGATTTAGACACACGAATGACTTCAGAAGAGGAAAGCCCAGTACCGGAGACAGCACGGACTTGAAAGAGAAGTAGTTCTAGAACGGCCCCAGAGACCCAGAAAAAAAAGAAGAGACAACCTAAAAAGTCCGAACACACAAATTAATGAAAAACTTATGGACTTTTTAGTAACACCAACAGTGCCACCAAAACAACATGATGAAACTAAGATTTTCCTTCTAAGTTTAGCACCTCAAATGAGATCTATGGGAAAAAGAGAACAAACCAGAGCCAAAATAGAGATGCTACGTATCCTGAATGACCTGGATGCGCAGAGTCAGGCACATCATGGGCCAGGTGTGCCTAGTTACCACACAGGACCACCACTGTTTGGCAGCTGGAATGCTCCACATTAAAATATTGTGGCACCCTCAGCTTCCTCAACATATCTTATGCCATATTCATAGGTATAGTTCAATGAGATTTAATATATTTGTTTATTTATATTTATAGTTATAATTCAATGAGATGTAATTTATTTATTTGTCTTTCTGTCTGTCAGTTTTGCTTGCTTGCTTGGTTGATTTGGAAATTGTTTCCTAATCCTGTTTTATGTTTTAGATTACATAACTGATACGGTTACTGCAATTATTTTTATTAAAAGTATCAATGTGTACATTACTGTGCTATCTTGTCATATGGCTCACATGGTAAAAATCCATTTAATTAATTATTGTTTTGAAATAATTTTTTCTTTCTTCCAACAGCATACTATTATGACAGTGTACTTTATTCCTTATTTGCTTGTTCTATTTTTTATTATCTGTGTTTTTTGTTCTGTCACTGTCATTCTGTTACACTGTGGAAGCTTCTGTCACGAAAACAAATTCCTCGTATGTGTAAACATACCTGGCAATAAAGCTCATTCTGATTCTGATTCTAAATCAGATATTCAAATAGGTTAAATAGAAAATTGCTTACCTCAATGTCACTGAAAGTTTTTCCTTTGGTCCAATTGGTGCCCAGTAATTTATAGACATCCCTGTGATGTCAGGTCCAATAATTGACAGCAGGTCCTCCATTTGCTGTGTACTCATTCTGAAGTACTGCAGGTGCTTTTCCGGGCTTATTCACAGCTCCTGAACAAGGTGGTGGTAAGTGCCAAATTGTGTCCTTTTTTCATTTAGAGGGTGTACCCAAATGCGATTTGACACTTTTGTTTTTTTTTTGTATTCTTCGACGTAAAAGTAGCAGTGCAGTAGTTTTTTTTGTTGTCAGACAAAATTTTATCTGTTTGGGAAGAACAGGAAAAACAGGGTATTCATACAAAAACCTTAAACCAGCAAAAGGACCAGCTTAAACCAGCAAAGGACCAGTTTAAACCAGCAAAAGGACCAGCATAAACCAGCAAAGGACCAGTTTAAACCAGCAAAGGACCAGCTTAAACCAGCAAAGGACCAGTTTAAACCAGCAAAGGACCATCTTAAACCAGCAAAGGACCAGTTTAAACCAGCAAAGGACCAGTTTAAACCAGCAAAGGACCAGCTTAAACCAGCATCCCAGCGTCAAAACATACCTAACCAGCATATGCTGGTTTTTTCAACAGGGCTGTCATCATTTATTTACCCTCATGTTGCTTCAAATCTGAATGACTTACTTTCTTTTAAGTTGTGCAAAAGAAAGTATTTTAAAGACTGTTGGTAACAAAGCTGATTTGGTTACCAATGACTTTGATTGTATGAACAAAAAATACTAAGATGTTTCACAAATTATCTTCTTTTATGTTCCATAGATCAGCGGTTTTCAAATCCCCACGCTCTGCATATTTTGCATGTTTCTCTTATCTTACGCACCTGATTCAGATAACCAACTCGTTAGAAGAGAGCTACATGAATGAACTGTATTCCAATTGACATGGTCCCTACCCAGTGTTCACTGCTCCCTACTCCCTGAGCAGGGGAAATCCATTGAAGTTTATTTCACTTCGGAACATTAATTCATGGATTTGCACTGCGCTGCTGCCTGCAGCGTCTTCACACACAGACAAAACTTACTAGAGAAGTGTGACATAATATACCTCTGTAAATAAAGACAATTTAAATTCTCGTCTTGCACACTTTAATGCCCTTTGAATGGAATATATACGCTCGCTTAGAACTGGAATCATGGCGGAATATCTGGTGATGTCCACTTCGCAGGGCACTTACAGTCAAATAGAACGTCTCGGTTACATATGTAACCCTCGTTCCCTGAAGGAGGGAACGGAGACGTCACGTCGGAGGACCGACGAAATTGGGATCTCGCTTAGAGGGACCAATCTACTTCGAGTGTAAACTAAACGAGCCAATGCACATTGGCATGCGATTATTGCATCCAGCTGCTGCTGATCACAGCGTGAGTATAAGTAGGCAGCAGGTGCAGCGCATATTCAGGTTTTCGCTGAGGAGCCGAGCCGGTGACCCGGCCGCTCAGCGGTGGTACAGGAGCTGTGGCGACGGGACGTGACGTCTCCGTTCCCTCCTTCAGGGAACGAGGGTTATATACGTAACCGAGACGTTCCCTTTCAGTCGGTCACTCTCGACGTCACGTCTGCTCCGGGTGTGTGTTCACGGTGTGTGTGTGTTCACTGCTGCGTGTGTGCACTTTGGATGGGTAAATGCAGAGCACTAATTCCGAGTATGGGTCACCATACTTGGCCACATGTCATGTCACTGTCACGTCGGAGGACCGACGAAATTGGGATCCTACCAAAGGGCCACAGCTACTGCCCCTTCCAGTGTCCTGTGGAAGCCACCTGCGCCCCTATTTTTTGGCGTAGGCCAGGGCTTCTTCACAAGAGGACCAGCTACTGCTGC